ATCTCAAGACTTTTTATCATTAATATAATTTTAATATAAATTTGTTGTCTTTTTAAGAATTAGTATTCATGCAGATGATAGGGACTCCTAACTGAGGAGACTCGTTATGCCAATGAAAGTTGGCACTTTATGTAGAAATCTTAAAAGAGTTGTATAGAGTACTAAGAGGTTAAGTGACTTTCCTAGCTCAGAAGAATCAAGATGGTGGAGTAACAGCAAGAAGTGCAGCTTGACTTCGGTACCCTAACTCCTCTACAAAGATCTAGAAAAGACACCAGACTGAATTCTGATTGGGAAAACAAAAAGTCAGTGAGTCATTTTTCTAGCTCAGGTAGGAGTAAGAAAACAGATTTGCAGATGCTGGAGATGAGGTCTGCCTAGGAGTGTCCAACTTCTAGTGAAAGAGAGCTGAGTTTGGATACCAGGCAGGATGCACTGGGACAAGAAGAGGTCACAGGGAACCCCTGAACTAACCAAGGATAGAGGAATGAATGACATTTGGCAGCTCTGTGTCACACTGCCCTATTCTGGGTTATAGATCCAGGGCATAATTGAGGAGAAGACTTGTTTCTAGCCGTGGTATAACAGAGCAGTTGTGGTTATATTTTCTAGTTTTGTCCTTAGAGAAATGAGTTCAGAAGCAAACTGTGGGTGTGTGTCTCTGATCCCAGGAGCAGATCAGGGACTCAATTCTAGTCTGTAGGCCCCGACTGAAGCTTATAGTAGAATAATCAGGCAGGAATTCCATACCAAAGGGGAGCAAAACTGGATAATGCTATAGGGTAAAAAAATTCTGATTCAAAAACGGCCTTAGAGGTCCACCACTCTATTTCTTAGCCAGTACTAGATTGTTTTGAAAATTAGTGCTTTATAATACAGTTTGAGATCTGGTACAACTCGACCACCTTCCTTCACATTTTTTTTCATTGATTCACTTGATATCCTTGATCTTTTATTCTCCCAGATGAATTTTGTGAATATTTTTTCTAGCTCTATAAAATATTTTTTCTTAGTTTGATGGGTATTTCTGTCTTAGGAAGAGGGAAGGGAGAGAAGGAGGGAAGGATTGAATTTGGAACTCAAAACTTAAAAAAAAAGAACCCAAATGCTAAAAATTGTTTTAATATGTAATTGAGGGAGAAATAAAATATTATTTAAAAAATAAAAGCACTCTGGGAGCTTGTCTCCAGAGAAAAGATGAAAAAAAAGATGCAAATATTGGGGTAGGTTTCAGCTGTATATCATTTGAATCTGTTATTTCAGATACAGGTTTTTCCAGATTAAGAATGTGGAAAAACTGATGTTTATGTTGTTTTTTTACCTGCTTTCACATACATCTCATCATATCCTGGCACATAGTGGGCACTTAATAAATGTTTATTGATTGATTGATTTACCCTCAAAACAACTTTGTATAGTAAATAGATGAGGAAACTGAACAAGGAAAGATGATGCAGAAAGAGTGTAGAAGCTGCCATCCTAAAAACCAGTTTCATAGTCAAGTTCATAGTCCTTAACCTAGGAAACATAGTGCCCTAGCATGTAGGTAGACATACTTCATAAGATAATTAGGTCTCTTTAAAATCCTAGGTCCTTGAAGCGCTGGACTGACTTTGCAATTCCTGCCTGATCCAAGTAGACACTCTTAATTCTTCCTATGTACATATGCTGTATACACACACATACATATACACATATGTATGCATATATGTACACACATATATCTTTTGTTTTTTATATTGCCTTTTCCCCCTATATACTTATCTTTTCCCCTTCTCAGAGAGCTATCCCAGATAATAAAGGGAAATTTTTTTTAAGAAATAAAAAGAGAGGAAGAAAAAAATCATTAAAATCAATCAGCACATAGGAAAAAATCTGATATTGTGTGCTATGTTCTACATTTGTGTACCCTGGCCTTTGCAGAGGAACCGGAGGAGATATCTTTTCATGTTTCTTCTTGACCAAGCTTGTTCTTTACAATTTTGTGATATTCCATTTCAGTTGTTTTGGAATGGTCACTAGTGTTGTAGCCATGTATTTTCCTGACTCTGCTTACTTCACTTTGCACTACTTCATGTAAGTCTTTTCCTGCTTCTCTGCCTTTATCATGCGTGTCATTTCTTACATCACATTAATATTCTATTACATTCTTGTGCCGCAGTTTGTTTAGTCGTCCTCCAAGAGATGGACATCTGTTTTGTTTCCCATACTTTGCTACCACAAAAAAGTGCTGTTGTAAATATTTTGGTGTTTGTAGGTGCCCATACTTCTTTAAGACTTGGTATGGAATTAGTGATGGAAGAGAACCCACTGTTTTGTGGTTATATCTAAGGGAATAATGACTGGCTCTGCTAGCCCCAACTAGCAGAGTTTTCCTATATTATTTTAAATTAAATGCTGTAAAGTCACTGTGATTAGGGCATAGTAGATCCCAGAAGCGTAATTAACATGAGGCAACTGGATCTTTGCCCCAAGTTACCAAAATTTAGATGATATTTACAACACTTTACATTGTTTCAGCAGGTGTAAATAATTATGCTTAACACCTGGTGAGAGAAAATAGTTAAAATAGAACTCTATCAGAGAATGGTTTTCTTCTCCCCTCTGCTGTGCTCCAGATGGACTCTTCCTTAGCTCATTACTGTTCTTTGAACTCTTCTGAAGGCCTCCCTAGCAGTGGTCTTGGGTGTCCTGGAAATTTCACAGGTCTGGTATCCAAGGGTCTCTGTCTGTTCCTACCCTCTAACTCTGACACAGGGCAGTGGCTTGAGATCTCTGGCTTGAGATCTCTCCCCTAATGGGCCCTTTCTAACTTTCAAATGAATTTATTAATAAAATTTGATTTTAGAATGCCTGTCATGCTATTTATCCCTTCATCCCTCCCCCATGAGTTTTGTGACATTTACCCTTAGTGCCAGAGTTGTTAGTTATGACTCTGGGAACTGCTTTTACATAAAGAGGAGAGTATTCAGTTATGCATACCACAAACCTCTAATTGGTTTCTTAACTATGTCCCAGCTTGGAGTCTGCTTTCTCCAACTTAACCTTCACATAGTTGCCAGATTCATTTTCCTGAGATCACAGGCCGACTGATCATGTTCATCTTGTGTCTGTAAACTTTTGTGGTTCCCCTTTATCTGCAGGATCAAATACAAACTCTTCTGTTTAGCTTTGAAAGCCCTTTACTACTTAGCCTCAATCCATTTTGTTTAGCCTTTTATTACATGTTATTCCCCTTCATGAATGCTATACTGAAGCCAAACTGGCTGTTTTGCTGTTCCTAACATAACACTTCCATCTCCCACCCTTGCTTTTGCGCTTTCTGTCCCCTATACCTATAATGCACTCCCACCTTGCCTCTACCTCGTAGAATCCTTTTTTCCTCCAAAATTCTCCTTAGGCAACACTTTCAGCATGCTGACCCTTCCTTTCCCCCAGTTGTTGTGTTTTCCCCCTAAATTACCTTCTAGTTATTTTGTTTATACTTATATAAGTATAAAATTTGTAAATACATGAATGTGAAATTTATAAACATATAAATATATGTGAGTACATGTTGTTTCCCCCTATAGAATATAAATTCTTTGAGGTCAGAAATTGTTTTAATTTCTAGTACTTTCTATGGTGCCTGGCTTATAATGGATGTAAGCTTGTTGATTGATTATTACTTTATACTCATGTTTTGGGATATATGGCCAGGTTCATTCAGAGATAAAGAGGGAAATAATTATTGGATTGTGATCTCAGTTCCTAAAATAAAACAATAGCTTCTTCTAAACTACTTGTAATTAATTATTGGTTATCGTCTATCTAGAGCATGACAATAGAATTTACTTTCATAGTAGAATTATGGAATGTTAGACTCGGACCTTAGATCTTCTAGGCCAACCTCTTCAATTTATAATCCAATCAGTCAATAATTTACGTTCATTAAACTCCCATTATGTGCTAGATATAAGAGAACCCTTAAAGACATTACGATAATCTGAGTGAAATAATCATTCAAGTCAAAAGAAAAAAATAATTTTAGTTGATTATTTGGCATTTTACAGATAAAACAATAGTTGACTGCAAAGATGCTCTTCAAGATTGTGTTCATAGAATAAGTTAATACAGGGTGTCCCAAAACTCTTAGTGCTGTGTAAAACTATTAAAGTTTAAAACTACATTAAAACTTTTGGGATGTCTTGTATGTGTTAAAATGCTTCTCTTCACTGATAAGTAATATAGAAATTTAAGCTTAGTAATATGTTTTACTTTTCAATCAGATATAGATAATGTAGTTTAGAACAGCATAGAATCTTAGTGCTAGGAAAAATCTCATATTATGGTCCAGCTGCCTAATGTTATAGATGAGAAAACTGATGTAGATTAAGGACTTATTTACCAGCTGATTGTAGACAGACTCAATGTACTTACTTGTCAATCTTTCTTTTTACACTTTGTTAAAACTTTTCAAGGTGATTTTTTTTTTGTTTTGCTTTGTAGCAAGACAACATTCATTGATACTTTGATGTTAGGCTAATATCACATTGGGAAACGTATACTATATATAATAGCCATCTTTAAAAAGTCATAATGCTATTTTTTCTTTCAATATCACTAAAAATGGAATTTTGTGTATTGGTTTTAAAATGTTATTTTCTAGAATAATCTTTTTGATAGATATACAACAAAAAACATGAATGACTACCTAAAATAGCTGTTTCGTTCAGCTCATTGACATTCAGTATTGTCTTCACATTGACCCAACAACTACTTTATAGACAGTAAGCTTTTTAAATAATTGTTTCTTTGCCTTTTACAAATATCAGAATGAGATTTTATTGTCACACAGATAAAATTCATTATTATACAAATCAGATACTACTTTTAACTTAACCAGAAATAGAAAATACTTTTTCAGACTACCCTTTTTGTGTTACAAGAAATAAATGTCTACTTTTATAAATCATGGCACAATTGATAGATAAAATATTTTTGTGTTTTTTTTTCTTTAGAGGCAGCTAAGAGAACATTTCAAGAAAAGGGTATCTTGGCAGGAGAAAACAGAAGTTTCAAACCTCATTTGACCTTCATGAAACTGTCAAAATCACCAGAGCTCAGAAGAAAGGTGAGTTTACATTTTTTAAAAATAGTATTTTTTCCCCAATTCCATGTCAAGACAAATTTTAGCATTCATATTTACAGGATTTTGAGTTCCAAATTTTTCTCCCTTCTAACCTCCCCTCCCCTCTTCCTAAAATGGCAGGCAATCATGTAAAACATATTTCCATACTAGTCACAGTTGTGAAAGAAGAAACAGATCAAAAGGAAAAAAAAACACAAAAAAGAATAAAGTGAAAAAAGTATGCTTTGATTTGCATTCAGATTCCATTAGTTCTTTATCTGGATGTGGATAGCATTTTTCTTCCTGAGTTCTTTGAAATTGTCTTGGATCATTGTGTTGCTGAGAAGAACTGTCTCATTCATAGTTGATCATTACACAGTGTTGCTGGTACTGTGTGCAGTGTTTTTCTGGTTCTCTTTATTTCACTTTGCATCGGTTCATATAGGTTTTGACAGATTTTTTCTGAAATCTTCCTGTTCATCATTTCTTATTGAACAATAGTATTCCATTACATTCGTATACTATGGCTTGTTCAGCCATTCCTCAATTGATGGGCATCTCCTCAATTTCCAATATCTTGCCACCACAAAAGGCTGCTGCAAATGTTTTTGCACATGTAGAGCCTTTTCCCTTTTTTATGATCTCTTTGGGATACAGTCTTATTGTTGCATGAAAGAATATGCAAAGTTTTATAGCCCTTTGGGTATAGTTCTGAATTGCTCTCCAAAATGATTGGATCAGTTCACAACTCCACCAGCAGTGCATTAGTGTCCCAATTTTCCTACATCCTTTTCATCATTTATCATTTTCCTTTTTTGTCATATTAGCCAATCTGATAGGTGTGAGGTGGTACTTTAGAGGTGTTTTAATTTGCATTTCTCTAATCAGTAGTGATTTAGAGCACTTCTTCATATACCTATTAAATGGCTTTGATTTCTTCAGTGGATTTTTATATGTCCTTTTCCATTTGGCCAATTCTACTTTAAGTAGCTATTTTCTTTTTCTAAGCTGTTGACTCTTTTTTCATAATTGTCTTGCATCGTTCTCTTTTCCCAATTTTTCTTCTATCCTTCTTATATGATTTTTAAGCTCCTTTTTGAGTGCTTCCATGAGTTCTTTCTGGGCTTGACACTGCTTCCCATTTTTCTTTGGATTTTCCCATAGGTGTTTTGACATTGTTGTCCTCTTCTGAGTTTGTCTTGATCTTCTCTGTCATTATAACTTTCTATGGTCAGATTCTTTTTTTGTTGTTTTTTTGCTTATCTTTTTTGGCCTCTTTCCTTTCTTTTAAATTTGAGCTCTGCTCCTGAGATGGAAGGGGCACTGTCAAACTTTTTGTGCCAGGGGCTGCAGGTCCTGGCTGTTGACCTGGCACTTCACTGACATTGCCCTAAAGCCCCCGGGGGACCCTCCTGTCCACTGAGGGGTGGGATGGGGTGTCGCTGGCGCTGCTGGAGGCTGTAGGGGTCTGGAAGCTTAACCTGGTGTTGAGCTGGGGTCCTTGTGGTGGTGTCTGGTGTGTGGTGAGACCAATGGAGTATTTCTGTGTTTCCTGGGGGCTACACTGAAGCATGTGGCAGTCTGGCCACTGGCAGCTGCTTGTTTGCCCCAGGCTACGCTGAAACACTTATTAAGGGTCTGGCTGCCTGTTTGCTTAGGCACCACTAGGGTTGGGTCTACCTGTTTGCCTGAGGTTACAGTGAAGCATCTGGAGGCTGGCTGCTGAAGGTTGCTTGGTTGTCTGGGGCTGCGTTGAAGTACATGGCACTCCTCAGACCTGGAGTTTGCCCATTTCCTTGGCTATGTTGGGGCACATGGGGGACTCTGGTGTTGGCATTTGCCTGCTCCACTGCAGTGGGACTTAGGATCTACTGCTGGTTTGCTGAGGTGGAGCTTGCTGCTGGCTTACTGGAATGTGTCCTGTCCTGGACTGTACTCCCCTTTTACCTGAGTGAGACAGACCTTTCTTGCTGATCTTCCAAGTTTCTTGGGCTAAAAGATTGTTTCATCCATTTTTTTTTTTTTGCTGGTTCTGGTGTTCTAGGATTTGTTTTGGGGCACTATTTTATGGTCGTTTGGAGGTAAATATGTGAGAATTATGGTGATTTACTGCTTATTTCACCTTATTGGTTCCTGGAAGTTCTATTGAGTTTGCATTTTTTAAATGACAAATTCATAGCTTTGCAAATGAGGAACATTTATCCTGGTAAGGATACTTTGATGCAACTTTCAGCCTGCTACCTTTGATTTCAGAGGGTTTTTGTGAATACAGATTACAAATAAGAAATTTGAGAGTATTCATTTTATGTAAGCTTTTTTTGAATATCCTAAAAAAATAAAGCCTTACATATTGTTTCTTCATAAGAATGAAACAATTCAATTATTTTTAAATTCTATTTTAAATTCAATTCTAGAATAGTATGCAATAGAAATACTCTTCTAGAATAGTAGACAATAGAACATTTTTTGTCTAACATTTAGTATTGTATAATCTAGAATGTTTTATTAAAACATATTTACAAATTACTTCTTTGTTCATTATCCTTTTCGTTTTGCTTTCAGTTGGATTATCCTCTTTCCAGTTTTTTTAAAATTCATCCCAGAATGACAAATAAATGGTGTCAGTGATATCTTCTGTTTAAGATTTTTTTTGTATTTGTGATATTTTATTTGAAGTGAAATAGCCCTTTGGAGACATTTATCAGTAGTACATCTCCTAGAAGATCTCTAGAGTCCATAATTTAGCATTTAAAACTGCATGTTCATTTAGCAAGCAATTGTCTTTATGTTCACATCACCAATTCTTACTGGGGCAAAAATCTTATTGGAGTCAGCCTGGGATTTGTGTGTTGAGAATTTTAGATTCTTTATCAAAGAAAGTAATTCTTTATCAAAGGCATTTTTCTGTTATCATGATTAAAAATTTCAGGTAACAACACTTCCTTTAAAAAATGCACATTTAACTAGTTTGGCCCTGTTTTGCTATCTCCTTTTTCCCATGAAATATACTTAAAATTTTTAGGAATACAGCATTTTGAAAGGACTTAATCATCTATCTTTTGGGAAATATATCATTGGCATCATGAAAATGTAAACTTAGTTAACTAGATAAATCTATGATAGCATCTATATGGGTATTCTTTCCTAGGTGCATATTACAACCCTTCCACACTTTCCTACCTTATGTGGTTTTTGTCCATGTCCTTCTATAGATCTTCCATAGAGGGTTCACTTCATTGCACTGGGGGCCTTCTTCAGGATCTTTTAATAACTTTAAATTAGTGGTTCTTAACCTGAGGCCTGTGAGCTTGTTCTATTTAAAAAAATATTTTGATAATTCTATTTCAGCATTAGTTTCTTTTGCAATCCTATGTATTTTATTTTACTTATTTAAGAAGTTTTCTGAGAAGGGATCTATAGACTTCACCATACTATCAAAGGGATAAAAGAAAAAGAAACTCTACTTTAGGTCAGTACATAAAGGATGTATCATTTTATTAGTATGAAAACCCCCTCCATGTAAATAAACAGATTACAACCTGTCTATAACTTACTTTGTCTAAAACTATACTTTTGTTAGAGAGTTGTTTGAGCCTTAGAATTGAGGGCAAGACCTGAACCTTGGTACTTCTAACTCAGATCCTTTGTGGCATGCTGCTTTTCCAGTATCTTTTAAGTATCAATTGTAGATAGTGGCACATGCATCCTACTAGTGGCCTGGGACCCCTAACGCCTGCGGCTCACAGAGATCAAGTCTAGTCTTCGGGACTGAACCAAAAAATCAAATCATTGTCTGTACCTAGAATTTACTTTGGAAAATTTCCAAATACAGCTTGTGTATAGCTAAATATTTAAGTTTCTCCAATGTAGGTAACAAGGTTTTCAGCCTTCTGGTATAAACACTCAATGTAAAAAAATAGTTTCAGGAAAGGACAGTCTTGATTTTTCCTCAGAAGGTATGGACTCAAAGGAGTCCATAAACATATATAGAAAACACATAAAGCTTTCAAAATAGCCCAAAAGCTGCCCTTGAAGGGGAATTGAATTAGAGAGTATTAGTGGAACACTTTTATATTCCTATGAGTATAGGTCTTCTATTACCCCATGTCATGGCTTGGTGTCTTTTCCAGAGTCTATGAGGGCCAGTCTTTGCCTTTTTGGAAGAATACTGCTTAGTAACTCCCCTTCTCATGCTAGAAGGTCAGGACCTTTCACTCTGGAACCTGAGATTATCAGTGAGTCAATCCCCAAGGCTAGTGTTAAGAAATTGTCTTTCTTTGTTTAGAATGCTAGATTTTATTAATTTAGCTAATAATAAATATGTTTTATTCTCACAATATTAGGCTATTTTAATTATATATAGATAAATACAATTTTAAAGCTGAAGAGGAATTTTGTTGTTATTCATCCTTCATTTTTAAGACCAGTGAGATCACGTGGTAATGTCTTGACTTGTACCTGAATTAGATTTAATTGAGGCAAAGGTGTGCAAAGTGGTGAGCCTCACTCTTTCTTCTTGAGTCATCAGGAAGTCCAGTGGCAGGACAAAAGTTAAGATGATGGTGATGGCCTGGGAAGCAGTGAATGACCTTGGCATCTTCAGTGCTTGACCAAGCTCTAAGCACTCCACTGTACCAGCTTCAGCCACCTTCATGGCCATTGAAACAAATTGTTCTCATCCACCCATGCTTGGGGTAGACATCCCCCTGATGCATTGGCAGGTTTGAGGCCTATCGGTTAGTTCAGTCTGGTTTAGTTTGTCTGCCAAGATGGTTAACTGAGGTGTGGCTGTTGCTCATGATACAGCTTCTTGGAGCCACAGGTAAGAGTTGGGTAAAAATGGACAACAAAGATGGATGAGCAGCCCTGAAAATGACTCAGCAGCCCTCATATCAGAGGTGTTAGTCCTTCCTCAACACCTCATACACCTAGTGAAGTTGAAAATCATATTGCAAAGGGCTGAGAAGTGAATGATAGGGGAAGAAGTAGAAGCAAGGAGAGGA